TGAAATAAAAACAGATAAGATAGCAAATCTTCATATACATGTAAAAACATTTTTACTTTAAACAGACTTGGGTTTACATACCGGAATTTTCAAAGTTTATAATATTTTAAATTTATTTAAACACTTTTATACTCTCTACATCTTCTCACCACGCAAATTAAAATTTCAATAATCTCTTCAATAAAATTTGTTTCGACTTTTTTATCAGGATAACAATGATTACTATCTTTTTCGATAATAAAATTTTATTATTTACAATATAGATATCATCGGTGATTTAATTTTTGTCCCTTTTTTGTTTGATTTTATTTGAAAAATAACAAAATATTAATAAAGTAAAAGTATCTTATTTTGCAATCTTTGTCCATGTTAAAATTAATCTTATTAGGTCATGTTTGAGTCAATCGATCAGATATATACAAATGTAAAAAATTTGTTTTCGATTAAATTTAGCCACATGTCAAATATTAATCTACCTAAAAATAATATTAATTTTATTTGTAAACTAGTAAAAATTAAATCTAATTTAAATAGGATTAAAAAAATATAATTATTTGAAAAATATGTGGTGTAGTTTAATTGAAAATCAATTAATATAAAAATAAAATTGATAAATATTTGATATATTTCTCTTCTCTATAAGTGGTTTTGTGTTAACGTTCTCAATTTTATTTTATATTTCATGTATCGATCTTTTTTTGTCAACTTTTCGTGGAGTGATCTAATTTTGTCTCTTTTTTTTTGTGAGTTATAAAATATTTAAAAAGTAAAAATAGTTCAAATATGAATATGAAAATAAATTCATCAACATCTTTAAAATATATATTTGAGTAGTAAAAGAGTTTTAGAAAAAGTAAAAAAAGACACCTAATTTCAATACGAATAAAAAACTAATAATTTTAAAATATGTGATAAAATTTAATTGTAAATCAAAGAAAAAAACATCAAAATTAAAAAATAAATATTATGTTTCTCAATAAGTGTTTTTGGAGTAACGTTTTTACTTTTATTTTATTTACTTTAACAGATAACCTAATTTTGCTTTCTAGTGTTAAATATTTTTTTTTCACAGTTATATAAAAGATTAATTACAAACCCGTGTATATTTGTTAGCATTGAAGTTATATATGAGTTTTGGGTTTAGATAAGTCAAAATTATGCTAACTATTAGACTTGAGATTTTACACTAAATATTTACACTTTTTGTAATACATAATGCGAAAACCGAAACTATTAGGCCGTTGGGTGTGTGACAAGCCAATAATCACTGTTGCTCATCGATAATTCAAATAATTACAATCTTAGCGTTTAAAATCGATAAAAATATTTATTTGAATTATCGATAAGCGGTTAAGGTCGAATCTCTGGTTGTGAAGGAGTGAGAGAACGAAGAGGAGGCAAAGGAGAATCAGAAGGATGATGAAGAACCAGGGGCGGATTTAGTGTTATAGGAGGGGGGGGGCACGTGCACCCACAATATATTTATCGATTTTCATGGCGGATGAGATGGTGATAATGCTGTCGAAGGAGAGTATGATAGCGACGACAAGGGTGAAAACGACGATGCAGATGGAGGAGAGTTCATAGATGGTGGAGGGTGAAGAAAAGGAGAAGTCAACGAAAGAAGAGATGATGAAAAAAATCCGGCGAAAATATCGTAAAACTTCGACACTAGATCGAAGGTTCGTCGAAAATCCGACGAGATTCCGGGGAAATTATAGTTGACTCAATGAGATACTAAGTTAACTCAGTGAGGTGAGGTGACTCAGTAAGTTCAGTTTGAGTGGACTCAATGAATACATTGGTTGCTAATTGTTTTTTTATACGTTTGATATTTGGAATTTAATTTGTGGTGCTAACATATATAATAGTGGATAACAATTGAGTTCGCTTTTTAACTCATTGTTAGATTATAACATGTATAATAGTGGAGAACAATTTATTTAGTAGTAATATGTATCGTTGATGTTAATGATTGAATAAACTATGCATTACTTAGCAAATAAAATATTTTGTTTACAATGGATTGTGTTTAATCGGTGACAACATAAATAATCTC